GTCCTGCAATAGCAGGGGTTGGAACCAATGGCCTTCTGGCCCTTTCTACTCTACTATTCTATGATTCTATTATTCTTAGTACAAAGGTCTCACTCTTAAAGACAATTTAGAGATAATTTAGATGATAGACTAAAAACAGTTAAGGAGGCAACATAAAATATTAGCACAATGTCCTGGATCCAGCCACTCATCTGTCATTTTTAACAACATGCTCAGAGCTGCTTAGAACGAAACATTTGAAAACAATGCTCTAAACAAAAATCAAACAATGAAAAAAGACTGGAGACAGCAGAAAAGGTTTGGTTTTTTAACAACCACCTACTCATGCTCTAGGAAGTGTAAACAATCAACAGGTCAAGAGGACAATGGCTTGTCAAAAAAGGAGTGGAGAGGACAGGATGATAAGAAGGCATCAGAAAGGGAAAGTGCATAAGGCCTTCAACTTCATCAGCAGGGAATTCTGTAATCATATCTAGGTACAACCACAAAGAAGGCATCCTTCCAGGTCTCATCTAATCACACCTCAGATGTTATCAGATCACAAGGCAAAGCCTCACTGGTTGACCTTAAAAAGTAAGGAGACAGTCCTTTAGAAATCCTGCGTTGCATCCAATGTTTTATTCAGAGCAGATCCATGGGAAATAAATGGGACTTAAGTTAGATACAACCCATTGGATACAAGCCCATAGTTCTAAGCCGTTAATAGCTTTAAAGATAACAACCAGCACTACAAACTGATGGAAGCCACTGAAGCTGTTTTGAAAGGGAAGTCCACATGTTCTCAAAACCAGCTGAAGTAAAACTTCCAGTTGTCCTGTTGGGACAAGTTTGACAAGTTTCTGCACATTTTCAAAGGCAGCCACACTCTAAATACATTCTAATGGTCTAATAAATTTTATTATAAAATTTCAGCAAAATAAAATCATAAATAAACTTACCCATCCAAATCCTGCACAAATGTATCTTATTATCAATTTTTAGATATGGATTTCTCACAGCATCAATTGAACGTGAGAAGATGGATCCAAGTGATGTTACATTAAATGCCATGTGTCTCTAAGGGCTGTAATATCCATATCTAATTTAATGTGTCAAAAACAAATAGACCCAATGATAGGATGCAATATCCAGAACACCCAATTCATCTTATCTAATTGGAAGTTGCATCCTTTTCCAGGATATTTGTAACAGAGAGGTCCTCCCCCACAAATATTTACAAAAACAAACACTGAGATTTTGAAAATATTTGCCAGATATGTATAGAGGAATATGACATAAACAAAGGTATAAAAATAATCTTAAGTGTATTTACATTACTCCAAAAGGGTTAATTGGGATTTTTGGTTTTGTGTTCTTTGTTTTGTTTTGGCAAGGACATATGAATATATTGCTTTAGGAATCCCTGTAATATAAACAATGTTTAATGATTTAAAAGAACAACTATAAAGTTTTGTAACTAACAGATTGGAAAAAGTTTTATACCACTCAGTTAGCAATCTGTCCATACCAGGGTCCCCCAATATCTATATTGGTAATTGCTTTCATACTTCATCAATACACAGAGGAGCCAAGAGAACTGCCTCTGTGAGGAATCTGAACAATCAAAAACAATGTGAGCAACAAAGCATCCATTTCGCATTCTGATGTTTCATTCCATCTTGGAGCCATCTGAGGTCTGCTGTAATATATTTGCTAGACACCTCTAGGACAAAATCTCTTGTATCCACCAGGACTTGCACTCCAATGTTATAATGGGCAAATATCTCCTGCTATGAAAGACTATCACTGAACTCATATTTAGCATCCTGTGACTCCTGATAAAGTTGTGCAGGTTATAAGATTTTTCGACTTCTTTAGAAGTATTTGTTGCATTACAAAACCCTTATAGAAGTCATAGGCAAGAATTCAGTCCCATAAAAATTACCAGGCATCTCCCTGATAGTGCAAGAATTAATAGTACCCTCATTGATTTTAAAATACTCAGCAGAAATCTGATTTTTAAGTGTCTCATTATTAAGAGAATCATCAGAGACCATGGGCCTTGGCACGCCTGAAAACTTGGTTTGAGACTACCAACACATCAATCTTAGAAGCATTAATTTGATGTAACAAAAAGAAGCCAAAAATAATATAATTAAAACCATTTAGGATGGACAGGTGAAATGAAAGTGTCCATCCTCCAAGCGTCAAGCAATCCAAATTCAGCTATATAGACCTGATGTGTAAATCCATTTGCCTCTTGGGAGCAGCTGTACTCCCATCCAGCAAAGAATCTAAAATCTTAAAGCCCTTTACCAACAATGATTACCAACAATCATAAGCAATCTCGACCAGTTTGCTAACCAGTCTGCTATTCAGGAAACATAATCAGAGAATCATTATTAGGCACATTATACATCAGTCATGTTTGATTCAGCAAGCCAGTCAATTCGTTTGTGGCGAGTGCCATTTTATCAGCATTTTACTTTTATTTCTCAGTCTCTTAAGTAGCTCAAGAACAATTTTTCAGCTCCTCAAAAATATTAAATAATGGAGTTCCACTTTTTTTTGCAGTACTTTTTTATTAAATTTTAAAACAGTACTAAAAACATCAATCATCACAAACATCAGAACTACGAGTCAGCCCCTTACTACATATCTTTTAACATTCTGTAATCATATTCAGATCCATTTATGGAATCTTAAAAAACATTTTTAGATCTAAACCAAGTCCCGTTTCTCCAGCCAATTAAAAAAAAAAAAAAAAGGTTCCAAATTTGATAGAAGTCACTATCTTCTTTCTCCTTCTGCAGTAAGATCAGTCCATCCATTTCTTACAGAGTCCCATTTTCCTTGACCAATATTAAAAGAAAGACTCTCCAAATCTGATAAAAGACAATATCTTTTTTCTTCTTCGATAGTAGCTTCAATCTAACCAACTCTACACAATTCCAGATCTTTTCATTTTTCTAATATTAAACAGATAAACTCATTATAATAGTTACAAATACGATCAAATACATTTTTGCTTACTAGTATTCCAGTCTAATATCCACTAAAAAGGAAAGTGAAAGAGAAGAAAAGTTCCAAGCTTAAAAAAGAACTAAAGACTTTTAACCCAATTTATGTTCACATGTCTAACATCCATTTAGCATCTTTAAGGACATCTTATCTAATCTATTTAACAACAACAATTATCTATGATATCTTTTAAACAAATTTTCTTTAAGCTAATTTATTAAAGTTTCATCTAGCTTACACTTCACTTAATCACATACAATTAACTCCTTATAAGAGTCCAGCTCCTTACAATCTTTAATATATCTCACTTGTAAAAAGAAATCTATTTAGTACAGCTCCTCCTACTCCCATAATAGTCATTTTCTAGTATAGCAATTCAAAGACAAAAGAGTCATGCAACTTAGCTTTTGGTCATTCATTTTTAAGATAAAAAAAGAAAAAGAAAAGAATCTCTCATTTTCCCTTATATCACCCACAAAGGAGAGAAAAAAAGGGGGGGACTCCACTCCTATTCTTCTCCTTCTTAGTTCAGTTTAAATCTTATCTTATAATCTCTTCATAATTCAACACATTTAAATGTAGAAAAGCTTCCACAGTTAAAATCATATACCTTAGCCTTTCCATACCACAATAAACATGCCAACCCATTTATACCATTCCTTTTTAAGATTTCTTTTTTACACCTCTTCCAAACCGCTTTTAATAGGGTTTGTTGAAAATCAGTATTTTTAAACTTTACATCTCCAGCCCATCTTTCTCCCCTTGGTGCTATTTGTTGAAAATCAACCCACTTCAAAGTCTGTATTTCAATCTTCACTATTTCTTGCTTTATCTTCAGTGATTGTAGCATTTGTTGTAGGTCAGTATTTATTCCCAATGGCTGTGTTTTTTGCTGCAAATCAACCTTCACTGTTTCTTCTTCCTCAGAATCAATTTTAGTTAATTCAGGATCCATCCATCCTTCAAAAAAAAATATTGCTTCCTTTAGTGGCCAAATTTGTTCCTTTTTATCCACAGTTTCAAATTTTTCATATACTTGTTTCATTTCTTGTATATTCTGTTCAGTTTTGGATTCTACATCAATCACCATCTCCTTAAAAGAAGCATCAAGCTTATCAAAGCGCTTTTTTTGTACAATTGAGAAGATTTCCTGTTGTCTCAACATCACCTCTTGGGATATTTGTAAAGTTGTTAAAGATTCTTGTATTTCCAAAAAAAAAATCTCTTCAGCTCTTCCATCGTTGCAATAATTCCAATAGCCACAAAGTGGCAGCCAAGATCAGTTCCACTTTTCTTTTCTCTAGATCACTAGGGGTCAGAAGGTTGGCAACTTGCCAAATACTTTGGCAGAGGTCCCAGAAATGCAGGAGAGGAAATGGAGATTCTTATATCCTTCCTCTTTTCTCCCTTTTCTCTCTTTTTTTAATGCCAATTAACAACAGATATAGTTTTTCCACAAGTAGTATTGCAAAAGGAAAATAGGAATGCTCACCCAAACAGTCCTCATATTAAAGATGAAAGCATTTGACAATGTGAAAAATATCCTGGCAAGTGTCCAGTTGATCTTGGCAGAAGTCCAAACAGATATCCAAAATGATTGGTCAAAGCTTTGAACTCCTATCACGTAATTGCACCTTAAAAATTTAAACTAATTTTTTACCCTTAGAGAGGTTAGAGGAAAAAGTCTTTTTCTTCGGCTTCAACTTGGACAAAAGCCTCAGCACTCTCTCATCTCAGTTGCCGCCTAAACATCCAGAGGGTTTTTCTTTTCTTAATGCCAAATTATAAACAAATGCAGCTTTTCCACGGGTAATATTGCGAAAGAAGTAAAAAATAATTACTCAGCAGTTCCAATGCTTATCTAGCTAATAAAAATCTTAAGCTAATCTTCTAAGATGTCGAGAACTTGAAGGGGCTGAAACCACCCCCTGTATTACTCAGTTGAGAAGTACCTGAATTGCTCTCAGCAGATATGAGATTGCCATCTCACATCAAGCCAAAGGCGTGCCCAGGCAATCTGTCTTCACCCCAACAGGGCTTAGATGAGTCTCCCATGACTCGCTGCTGAGTAATACCGGCATGATAAATGAACTCCGTTAATCACATCCATCTCATTCCGACGCCATCTTGGAATCTCCACTTAAGTGAAATTATGTTAAAATAATATACTCCATAATACTATAATACAATATCTGTGTGTTGATTAATGGGAGAAAAAACTTTCCAGTCGCCACCACTTTAGCAAGGAATTTAATGGATGGAATTATTGGTAGGATTTTTAATGCTTCTAAAATTTGCATAATAGAAGTATAGTACTATACTATAAATCTATATAGAGGGAAATCATATAGCACTATAGAGATAGGCCTATGTAATGCTAATTTAGAAAAACTTTCTGGTCACCCCATCCATTAACCTCATTGCTAAAATGGTGGCAGCCTTTAAAGAGTTTTTTCCTCTTCTTTCTACTTGGTATAGTGCGTGTGTTACATTCTAATATTATGGTAGTTTAGCGCAATACTACTTTTGTTTAAGTAGTTTCATTATTTCACTATTTTCTTGAATGTCCAAAAGATATTTGAGCACTACTATATGTAAATTATTAAAGTGGTACCAACTGCAAAGACTGCCAAAGCATGCTCCCACTATCACAAATGAAGCCACTATCCATTTGCTTGATCAAGCCCATAGCCCATTGTAGGGTCCTTTGAGGGTTCTTTGCCCCTCAGACAAGCCATGCCTGCAAAGTTCTGATTAAGAAGCCATGCTCAGATGGATAAGCAGGGAAATAGCAGCCAGCACACATGGTCAATTGAGACAGACTAGCTTGTTTGATCATGGAAACTGGCCCAATGTACAAGGAGCTATGATAGGTTCAGTTACCAGGTAAGTCATCGAGTTCACACAACCTGATGGTCTTACAGCAGATAAGTCTCAGCAAGCTGTCATGTCATGTGAACTCAGATTGCTTCCTGCAGTGTTACTCATTTAAGGAAAACAAGCCACCCTAAAACAACCCATAGTTTGTTTTAGGACTTCTTGTACCAACTATGGCTTATATCTTCCACACCCAGGCAGCTGCCTCTATTATGGGGACTGCAAATCAGCAAGCAAGCTACTTGACAAGAGTGACAAAAAGTCTTGTCAATTTTCCCTGGGCTATCACTGGTGACAGCCGCCCCTCAACTGCCCAAGTGGCACTAACCCTAACCCTTTCAGTTTGTTGTAGCTTTTCCTCCCTTTTCACTTTTTCTTTTTCAGAAATCACAAAATATGTCTACTTCCTTGGTCAATGCTTCTGTTTATCTCTGCCCAACTCCCTGTTTTCAAAGATTCCCCTACTTCTGATAGCTCTCAGAAGTGTTAGTGAAAAGGTGGGTGCATGGTTCCACCTGCCTCAGTGCCCAGAATCTCAGGAACTGATAGAAAAGTTGGAGGCACTGGGACCAATGAGGGGCACTCAAATCCATGAAGATATTGCTGCAAGGGTGGGGCGGGGGATATCACCTACTCTTTTTGCAAGCAATGATCACCAGCTTGGCCTTTGGCAGCTACCATGTTACAGCAAAGTAAATCAAATACAAACAAAACCAAACCCAATTTAGAACCACTCTGAACTGATGACCAGGACTGGTACCTGCTATGCTTTGCAGCATGTACCCACTCCTGCAGGGAATGCCTAGGTGAGGCTTCTAATTTTTATCCCATAGATCTGCATTCCTCCTCAACACTTGCACAAGTTTGACTAAAAAAAATTCAAACAGTCAAAAAAAAATGTGCACTTTGGGGTGCATTTTTAAAAATGCGGCAGCCAATGATAGCTTCCAATTTGCCACTTGGGTACTTTGGAGGGGCTGCCACTGGCTGAGGGAGAGTGGAGAGAGGGAAAAATGGCTGCATGGAGTGAGAAAAGGCTCGTGATCAAGGCAGGAGGAGAGCATTTGGTCCTGTCACAGAGCCCTCTAGGATATCTGCAGGAGGATTGTAGGGGGGGGGGGGGGGTGAATCCAGTCATCTATCAGGTGCAACAGGAGTTGTTTGGGCAGTAACTAACCCATATTGGTTTGTTGCCAGTGAGTTCATATGGCAGGCAAATTCGCACACTGCCACCTTACCAAAACGACACCCCTCAGACAGAAGAGCAGCGCAACATGCACTGGTGTAGACAGAAGACAGTGGGATGCTCTCGCAGAAAATGTGCCATCTCCTCAGATACTGTGGAAAGTTGCAGTGATGCTTGTAGCCTAGAGAAAAAGCAATGATTTATTAGCATTGGGGACCATCTGCCTGGAAGCATGCCTTCAGACAAGTATACTTGGTGAGGTTTCATGATTTGGTAGTTAAATAAGCTTGACAGAAGCTTACATTTGTAATATCGAGATGCGCCTAGAATGCCAGATTTCCATCAGCTATATTTTTAGGGCCAACTTCTGTGTGATGGGTTTGGAAACAACTGAAGATGCTGTGATAGGAACTCCCACAGTAGCTTTTATATATAGAATGTGCTGTGTCAGCACTGTCTAAAATAGGTACCTGCACACGTCAGAATATTATGCTAAAAAGATAAAAATAGATGCTCCCACTATCACAAATGAAGCCACAGCCACAGTTTTCCAAAATCTGACATTGTTCACTAGCCAGCCACCATGATCCAAAGGTTACAGGCAGAGAGCTAGAAGGGCAGAGTTCAGTTCAGAAATAGCACCTGTTTCCAAGAAGTATCTCACGAGTACACACAGAAAAAGATGACTGGCTGTCCAAATCCATTTAAGCATTTTGCATATCAAGGCACAACAGGCTGTTATTTTGCGCTGCTGAGAAGAGGAAAGTAAAAGAAGAGCAGAGATAGGCTGAAATGTTTTAAATTATAGTTTTGTATAGTGACTACAAATTGGTATTCTAAATTCTCTTTGAATCTATTTGATGTTTCCTAGGCCCTCCACATGGTGGGAGATTTTTGCTGCAAATCTTCCACTCAGCAACCTCCTATGCTCAATTAAAAATATTTTTCTAACCTCCCATCCGTTATGATGCAGTGCATCCTTTCCTCCGAATTGTGCTTTCCTTGAAATCTGAAAGCTTTTTGTCCTACCCCAGCTCCCAAAAAGCTAGAAGTTGCTTGTAGTTATTCAGTGGTGTGCACAGTGTGATTAGTTGATTTATAAGGTCATTCTTACCTTCATTTCAAAAGACCTGAAAGTATCCCAGGATTTTTAAAGCAGATTTTCAACAGTACAAATGCCCTGTCAGACATTTCTTACATGAAGCTGCTAATCAGCTCTTAATCTGTTATATCCACTTTTGATTTCACTGCAGAACTGCAATTCAAGCAGTACACAAAGTCTGTTTTTTCCTTGCTTTTCTACTTTTCCTCTAGCTGGCACTATCATATAGGAAAATATCACCAATACACAAGAGGAAAATCATGGTTTCTTTTACTGTTATAAGTAAATACTGCCCTTTCCCTGCTCTAACCAAAAAAAATCAAAAGAGGGTCACATCATTATCTGATGGACCCATAAACGGCAATGAGCAGAGAATGAAAAGCACATGATCAATGTGTAGCGTAGAAAAGCTGTACAAAAGAAGAAGTGCCAAACACAAGGTGTGCTTTGCTCCTTGCTTGTACCCTTCTACTGGTGGGTCCTTCCCAAGGGAATGAACAGTAGGGCAGGGCAACCTGCAACCAGCTCTGCATGACTCGCCAATCTTTGCCCCACACCGTAGCCACCAGCCACAAACAGCAGGCATATTTTAAAGGCTAGTTAAGGGTATTCACAAGCTTCCCATTGCACTAGCAACAGGAACTCTTAGGGCCTGGGCTGTGTTGGATACCATCCTGATGCTGAATGCTGATGCTGAAATGGTTGCAGAAATGGTTCCATTTCTTAGCTTTCCTTAAGCATATCAGCAAAAAGACGTAACATGGAGATCATATGACCAAACCTGGCTGGCAGTGACTCAAGGAAAGGACTTCCATAGCCACGCACAGTGCTTTTTTGGTAAAAAAAAAAAAAAAAGGTGCCGGCAGTAAGCACACACACCAATCCCAACAGGTCCCAAGCAGCTATCTCTCACTATCAGATAGCAGATAGCAGACACAATAGCAGCCTGCAGGTACTATGTTAATGATGTTTGCTGCTGATCTGCTACTCAGTTCAAAATCACTTCGTAAAATCCATTGGAAAAAAGGTGCTGGAACGCTGTTCCGGTGCGCTCGGTGACCAAAAAAAGCCCTGGCCACGCCCGATAGGGCACAGAGCCTAACATTTAGACCTTCCTGTTCTAATGACTGGTGATAGGCTGTGGCTACACTCTCATTTCACACTCTCATATGAAAAGGGGATTGATTCTATCACCACTGCTCTGGCAACCAGATAAATGCGAGAAGTGTCTGTGTCATGTCACATCTTGTACGAGTATCGCACTGACGTATTAACCCAGCTACCGGTGTAACAACAGCCAACGTTTTGCCAAAGACCTCCTCTATAATCTTCTGCAGGAATCCCCAAAACCCAGAGAGATGCAGTACTGCCTTCCTTATTTTTAAACCTGTGGCTTTTTTAAGACTTAAAAGCCTCAGATTACAAGGCATTGTTGGGCTTTGTTTATCTTTACTGATTGGAGTAAAGGATTATTTTCTGTCTTCCTTGCAGAACTGATTGTCAAACAAGGGAAAAGGAAGCCCAGATGTCTCAAATAAATGTTTCAAAGCCAATGTTGGTGGGGGGGAGAGAGGCAGAATAGCATGCAGTTCACTCTCTATTCCCCTCTTTTGCACAGAGAATTACCAGACCAAAGCTATAGATAAAAGAGCACTTCATTTTGAGATTGTCATCTGAGCAATTTTCAGTCTGGAAAAGAAAACATCCTAACTGGAAAGTATCATGCTGTGAGGCACTGACATTTTTTATCATAATCATCACAGGACAATGCAGAAATGGAAATGTTTTGCAGAGCTTCCTAATAAAGGAACAAGCCATGGCTGCTCAGCCACTTCTGCAGTGTCACAGGTAAAGTACCTGCAGAGCTACATTTCTTGAGGCTTAATCTTGGCCATGATTAACCTATCTATTTGTGCTGTCTGTATGGTTTTAGAAAAACTATGCACTAATGTAATGCAAAGACAAGTTTCACAAGTAATGGTTACATAAAATGCTAAGTCACAGTAGAAATTATGTTAATTCATTCAAGCCCTTGTCTTATCATGTCTTCTCTGTACAGCAGGAGTGTAGGAAAGATCTCCTTGGACTTTTCCTATATCCCTCAAGTCCATTAATTAGAGTGAAGTGCAAAATAGTTGCTCAGGAAAGCTAAACATGAAGAAACGGGGCACTTTGAGTGTACACTCAGGCCAGAGCTCTTGTTTTAAGCAGCAGATCTAAGGCTCAAATCATACACAAATCCACCCCTGGTTTTCCTCAAACATTATTTTTCAGCAAGCATTTTAGCAGGGAAGGGCGTTTTGTTTGTTGTTAGTCTTGGACAGCAGTCAGTCAAAAACCTTATAGATCTAGGGAGGTTCTGGGCTCTCCCACACTGCAGGCATTCAAGATGCAGCAGGACAGTCCTCTGTTGGGGATCTTTTAATGTGGGGTCCTGCACTGAGCAGGGGGTTGAACCCAACAGGCCTATTGGCCCCTTCCAACTCTACTATTCCTATGATCTTCTGTGAATCTGTCAGCACCTTCAGTAAATCCTGACCTACCTTCTTCTCATCCTGCTCACCTCTACATTATATTACCATTAGGATGAAATTTTTGAAATGGCATCACTGTCCCAGAAAAGAAAGTGAGAAGAAAAGCCTTTTCCTGCTCTTAAGAATTACCACTATGATCTGAAGTTGTAATTAATGTTCTACTATGTCTTCATCTGCTTATGATCTTTTTCTGAACTACGATAAACCAGCTTGGAACTTCTTGTAAACTAGAAAGGAGGTATAGAACTTGAATGAATTTTTCAGAAAATGAAGTTACAAGCTTCATCATAAGCAGTCAGAATCTTAACACCACAGTTGTGACATGACCATGATGTTTTCATTCCTTGGCATCTTCTCTAAGAGGAAGTGGCTAAGACGGTTGGGTAGGAGGTTATCCCACCTCCCTATACTTCAGTGAGCTCTGCAGTTGCTTGACAAAACTCATTCTGATGATGGTTTAAGGGCTTTGCAGCCTGTGGTGAAGCGTGGATAAGAGAGACAACAATGTGTCATCATGACCTGGAACACAACACACATCATTTGAATGAGTTTTAAAAGCAACATTAAATGGCAGGCTTGCTCCTCCCCACAAAACAGGAAATCTCAAAAATGACTAGGATTAGGCACAAGACAATAAAACATATTGATAAGAATGCATGGGAAACAGTCAGCTCAAGTCAACAGTTGGGTGATATCTTGATTAGGACCAAAGAAAACTCTACAACAGTGTGCACCAGTTTCAAGTTCTCCAGAAGTTATCATCAGGCTAGGTAGCATATCAGGGTATGGGGAAAGAAACAGAAGAGTCCAAGCATCTGGCCAGATGTTGTGGCCATGATGTGTACAGTTTAGATAAACCCAGTCTCAGAATGGAAATGTACAGTCTAAACAATGAGTCAATGGGAAATCTTGCAAGTACCACCTATGGATTGTCAACACCAAGCAATTATTGTACACTCATCCATCCCCAATCATTGTTTATAGATTCTTTAGATAACATGACTATCCAGTTTCACATAAGTCTCAGCACCTTTGGCAAGTTTTTCTTTAATTTGCTTCTGTTTTTGAGCAAGAAAACATTTAATTGTGATAGTGAAAGAGAGATTTCCTCTGGTGTGCTGGAGCTACTGCACTATATCACAACACCACCTAGACAGCATTTAGTGGGAAAAACAGGAAAGCGGTCTTCTGTAGTGTTTGTATCTCAATTCTATGTCAAAACCAGAAGTGGTGGCAGAGAATTCATAGCCTTGGACACAAGAGCTCCTAGCCTGATGCTAAAACTTGAACACTTGCAAATTTTTGTGGAATTTTGCGTAAGCATGAAAAACACTATTATTCAATGTTGGCTTCCTTCCTTATGAGGAACATGGGGTTCTGTGGCAGGGTCTGCACAGCATAATCTACTGAGGCAGGTCGGAGACCATGGGCAGATTCATCTGATTCTTGTAACAGTGGCCAACATCGTGGTGTTAAGAAGTTCAATCAAGATGGCTTTTAAAGGTGTGTTGTGTTGGCATCTCCCTAGCACTTTGTCTGTTATGC